TTAATGTGTTAACTGCATTTCTCTTTAGTATATTGCTTATGCTGGCTGCCTGTTTCTTTTTTCCCCCAAATCCATTTTACTTCAAGGATAAAAAGAGCTCTTTGTCTTCTGTAACTTTTTCCCTATTATTTTGGATGAGTTCTGTATTGAACAAGTATTATCTATATGCTAGTTTTGTTACAAGTATGCTTTTGCTAGGTGGTTTATTTATTTATTTATTTATTTGTCTTTTTCCTTTTTATCGGTACTGGGGATCAAACTCACGACTGCCTGCTTTCAAGGCAGGTGCTTATGCCACTGAGCTAAACCCCCAGCCCCGGTGGTTTATTTGTATTTGTATCATGAATGATAGGCACATATTCTGAGCTACACTCCCAGCCCTGTGTGACTTTCTGAAAATCTGTTCATCTTTTCCTATGTGACTCATTTAATCTTTTTATTCTTTGCCTAGAAAATCCATCTCTTTTTAGAGATTTAATAAATGTTGAATTCTTTTTGCATCTGCGCTTTCTTGGTTTTTAACATGTTATCCATTAACTCAATAGTAATTTATTTTATATTAATCTAAATCATCTTGCCCCAGGCTAATTGATTTCATTCCATTTAATGAATAAGTCTTTCTCCATCAACTTATAAAGGGAGGGGCTGGAGACATGGCTCAGTGTTAGGATGTTCATCTACCATTCACAGCGCTGAAAAAAGATAGAGAAGAATTGAAGGAAGAAAGAAAGCTTTCCAAGGTGTATTGGTCATATTTTAAGCCCTCATAAGCTAGGCCTGTTTTGTTCCAATGAGCTCTCCATTCTTGCTTAGTTCAGACAGTGTGTAGTTATAACTGCAGAACATATTCTTCCCGGAGACTTCTAGGAATACAGTCTCCCAGTCTCTCAGATGGCCAACTCGTTTTTATCATGCATCTACAAGGAGCAATAAATTGCTTCATATGGAGGAACTGACCCAGTTGCTTACTATGGACATCTAATCGCACACCACAGAAAGGAGGAGCAAGAGCAGACCTTCTTCCTTCCTGCAGTTCTGGGGCTGAAGCCAGGGCCTTGTGTTCTAGCCTTGCATATACCCCTAACCTTGGGCAAGTCTTCTTCAAGGCCATCAAGCATGCAGTTCAGGGAAATGCCCCTAATTCTTTCAGTTCACTGAGATCTCCCATCAAATCGCTGGCAAATGGTAGGTATCTGTTCTCTTTAGAGATTTACTGTTTGTTCATAGGAGACACAACCCATGAAAAGATCTAAGAAGACCAAAAATAAATAAGGAATCGCAAGACAGCCCCTCCCCAGGATAAAGCATGGCAGGAGGATTCACAGAGGCTACGTGTGGGCTGGATCTCCAGTGGTGACAGTATTTAAAGTTTTGTAGCCACATCCTGTCTGTTGCAACTACTCGGCTGTGCCACTGTACCTGCCCTTTATGGTGCTATATAAAGGGCTGAGCATGGTGGTTCTAATAAAACTTTATTCATAACAATCTTAAACAGCAGTAGTTTTCCAAATTCTAACTGTAGTGTGAAAGGAAAGTTACTATAGAACCAGAAGGCAGTTTTTCAGACTGCAGTCCTGACAAGCGTCTGACTTTTGAGCCTCTAGAGGGCGCACGCCACCATGCGTACTCCTGCAAAAGGGAAGGGGGACCAAGAGAAGCAGAGAGGGGAGGAGGGATGTAAGAATTCAGATGCGCTATGCAGGAATCCCCACTCCCTGAGAGGAGTGTAGTCCTGTGGTGTGCAAATACGTGCTAATAAAAATTTCAAGAGGTAAAGAAACAGCATGCAGAGTGTCAGCCGCTGTGTCTCATCCCCTGCAGCTCTGTCACCAATACAGTCTCCCTAATGTTACAGGTATTGATGCAACAGGCACCTTAACTATCTCCAGTGCCCCAAAGGTCAGGCGGACCAGCGTCCTGGTCTGAGCCCAGGGGGTGGGGACTGTGAGTGGCAGAGAAGCTCCGCACCTCCTGGGAGGCAGATGCCTCAGTTTCACGCTCTGGCTCAACCTTCTCGTCCAAATGGCATAAATACATGCAAAGACTGTGCCACCGTAGCCCAGGTTTCCTGTAACATAATAGTTCCTGCCGTACTCGGTATGGGGGTGGGGTGAGGAGGAAAGCAGAGTCCTTCTCAGGTGCTTGTTTCCTGTCTACAGGCCCAGCTGCACACTGCTCCTTCCCAAGAGTGCTCTCCCACCCCACGCCCACCCCCACCCCCGGGCACACACAGGAGCTAGCGACACGGGTGACCCAGGGGCAGCTGGCAGAGGTGGGTCTGCCTTGGCTACTCCTAAGGTCCAGATGCAGCCCAGATGTGGCAGATGCTTCGTGAATATCTGCGGAGCTAAATGGAGGAACTGGTGAGGCCTGCAGCTGTCCCCCAGCCCGGGGGCGCAACCAGACACCCAGATGTGGGTGAGCAGAGGAATGAGCGCTGACAATGCCCTGCAGATGACGTGCACAGCCCTGCACAGCTTGCAAGGATCAGTGGTGATCAGACACGAGCCCTGTCCTCTGTGGGCACTGCGCCTGGACAGCCTGGCCACTGACCAGGCTCGCCTCTTGTGGTGGCAGAGGCTCTAGCTTTCTCCCCCTGGCAGGCACAGGAGGAAGAGGGTGCTCAGCCCAATGCAGTGCCACCCTGGGCGGGTGTTCTTCACGTCTGTAAGAAGTCACACTGTTTACTGCATATGTGAAGTGGGGACTGGGACAGGACACAAGGCGGCAAAATCAGTGTCACATCTTTCTGTCTTTGTCCAACTTGGTTTTACCCACTATACAGGAAATGAAGGATTTCCTAAATGGTCTTTTGTTTGTTTGAGACAGGGTCTCACTATGTATTCCAGGCTGGCCTTGAACTCACAGTAATCCTCCTGCTTCAGTCTCCTGAGTGCAGGATCTCAGGTGTGTACCACCATGCTTGGTCCCTACATGTCGAAGGTAGCTATATTCCAATGAAAATAGAAACAATAGGCTGGTCCGAAGGTAGTGAGTTATCTCAATTGATTGTTCACAGTCAGTACAGATTGAACTCCTTGTTCTACTCTTTCCCCCCTTCTCACTACTGCACTTGACTAGTCTTAAAAAAAAAAAAAAAAAAAAGAAAATAGAAACAATATCTCCAAGGCAGTGTTAACCGTTGGCTGTCACAGACTACTCATGACCATACTTTCTGCCATGCGAGAGGAAAAGGACGGCTGATAAACTTGGGCAGGTGTTGCAGCCCCTGGAGTGGGTCTGCCAGACGGCAGCAGGAAGCTCCCTCTCCCCAGGGCATAGACGCTGAGCCTCAGGATGGTGCGGCTCTCAGACCAGAAACGCATCCATGGACTGTCTACACATATGCTGCTAGGCTCTACCAGTGAGCTACATCGCCAACCATTAGGAAATGTTTTTAGGACACATGACATGACTTAAATGGCATTAACATCATCAGTGCAAGAGATGTCCCAGTGGAATTTTGAGTTCAGTGTGAGATGAATGCCTGAATTTACAGGCAGTCAGAGGAGCGGGGTCCTACAGCTGGAAGCCTAATAAAGGGGCCTCATGGAGCTGGCCCTTAGGATGGGGGCAGTGGTCCAGGTGACGAACAAGGCCTGGTACAAAACCAAATTAGTACAGGGGTCGGCAAATGATCGCCTATGAACCACATCTGATCTGCCGTTAGATTTTTTTGTAGTAGCAGTAGTAGTGGGGTTTGAATCCAGGCCTTTGCATTAGGTTATATCCCCTGCTCCATTACCTCTTCTAAAATTTTTAATTTCGAGACAGAGTTTTGCTGAGTTGCGAAGCAGCCCAGGCTAGGCTCAAACTTGCAATCCTTCTGCCTGTTCTCCCGCAGTGCTAGGATTATAAGCATGCACACCGCATTTGGCTTGATTTTACAGTCTTAAAATAGTTGAAAACATAAATAGTACTCCATGACAAGTGAAAATGGCAAAGTTCACACCTGAGTGCCCATCCATGATGTTTTATTGCAACACAGCAATGGTCATCTGTCTACAGACTGTCTATGGCTATTGCACACTACGGCAGCAGTGGTGGGCAGTTAGGACAGAGACCACATGGCCTAAATATTCACTTCTTGGCAGGTTAGGGGAAGTTTGTGGATTCTGGGTCAATAACACCAGGGGGCACATGGAGGCTCTGGGCTGTGGGAGGGTCCACAGGTGGACTGTGAGAGATCAGGTGGTAAGGGGTGCTTGGCGTTAACTTTGATGTCAAGCTAAAGCTAGCTGGGTATGGTGGTGCACACCTGTAATCCTAGCACTTAGGAGGCTGAGGCAGGAGGATCACTGCAAGTTCAAGGCCAGCCTGAACTGTATAGTAAAACCCTGGCTCAAAAAAAAAGAAAAAGAAAAAGAAAAAAGACATGAGCTCTCTCCATAAACAATCAGTTGAAATTATTCCTACATACATGGATATAATAATGTCACTTATGATAAAAAAAATTCTCAAAGCCTCAAAAGGGTATGCTACAGAAAAGGTAGTCATCAGTTTTATGGTCTCAGATCCCAGGCAATGCCATGTTGGCACCTGTGTATGCATCCTTTGGTCCCCATAACAGAGCGATTCTTATATACACACACGCTTCTGGGTACATGTATTTGTTCATTTAAAACCCACAAATGGTAACATGTTATAAAAATACTATTCTACAGGCTGCTTGTCAGTCTGTATTTCTGTCTGTCCTAGTTAGGACTTGTCTTCTCAACAGTCCTACTTTTTATTTTGAGACAGGTTCTCACCAAGTTGCCCAGAGTGGCCTCAAAGGCACAGTTCTCCTGCCTCAGCCTTCTCAGTAGCTGGCATCACAGTCATGTACCACAATTATTTACCAAGTCAGAGGAGGGCCTGGGCTGGAAACCTGCAGGCATTTTGGGGGGCTCTGTGAGGCAGAGGGTTCCAGAAGGCAGCCGTGAGGGTGACCCGAAGCCCTGAGTGCTTAGGGCCACCCACTTGGGACCCTCTCCTGCCAGTGCTCCAGGAGCTCTTACCTTGGTGGGCGTGTCAGGGATGGAGGAGGTGGGAGAAGCAGGGGAGGTCAAGACGCACTTCCTGCCCAGGCAGCGGCCATGCAGCTCGATGTCCTCGTACGGGTTCTCCTTCAGGGGGGGATCTGTAGCCCAACACAGCGGGTGAGAAAGCGGGGAGGTTCTCCTTCTGGGGACACTGAGGCCAGCACCTTAGCATCTCCTGTGCTGGTCCTGGCAGGATTTCTGCCGTTTTGCTGTCCGTCACCCTTCCTCTTACTGACAGACCCTGTTTCTCACTGGGCTAACTCTGTCCCCTGAGGATCACCATGGAGGATCAACTCCTCCCAGGGCTTAGCCACTCTGGGTCCTGGTCTCGGCCACAGGGAAGTATTCGGGGAAGGCTCACATCCCAACAGAGATAGCTGCTGCGTGGCACCCTGGCCTCCAAGACCAACAAGTGACCTCAGCAGGTCACTTACCCAGAATGTCCTCATACACATTCTCCTCCGAGAGAGTGCGCGTGTGGCCCAGCCGAGTCTGTGCATACCAGTCCACCCTGCTGCTCTCCGAGGAGGGCTGCAGCAGGTCTTCGAACTCATAGGACTTCCTGCGTCAGGCAAGACGGAAGAAAGAACCAGGAACTGGAGTCAGCTGCAGCCAGCGCAAAGAATCCATAAATACACATACTACATCCCTCCCTAAATGTCCTTCTTAGAAACATTTCTATTACTGAAATCAATTCCATTTTTTGTAAAAAGTGTCAATATCTATGCTTCAGCCAGGCATGGTGGCGCACGCCTGTAATTCCAGAGCTTGGGAGGTTGAGGCAGAAGGATCACGAGTTTGAGGCCATCCTGGACTGCATGGAGAGTTCAAGGTAGCTTGAACCACATAGCAAGACCCTGTCTCAACATATAAATAAAACAACAACAACAAAACCAAAAACCAGAAAAAACAGAACAGAAAAGGTACATAAGCCTTGGTTAATCCCTAATAATGAAAGAGAAAAAGAGAAGAGAGGAGAGGCCGCTGGCACAGCTGTGACTATGTGACTTCGAACCACTGCTAGCCTAAATTCACTCAGGGCAGGGTCTCTGTCTATCTTATTCATTACAAAATTCTCATGTGTAACACTATACACTGTTCAAGTGGGTCAGAAAGCACTTGACTTCCCAGGACTGCCAGCTGCAGTCTCTCTATGCCCATCCATCCTGAGTGACCACTGGCAGCCCTCCCTCACGGCCCACTGGCCCCAGAGTCCAGCCACACTGCACAGCAGAGGCTACACAGAGGCTTGGAACAGAAATACATGTAAATGTCTGTTTTTCATACTTGAGCTTTATATTGCGTGTTATCAGACAAGACCGTTTTTTTTTTTGGTCTTTTTTTGAGACAAGGTCTCGCTATGCAGTTCAGGCTGGCCTTGAGCTCACTTTGTGGCCCTGGCTGGTCTCGAACTCGCAACCATCCTCCCACCTTAGCCTCCCAAGTGCTGGGATTACAGGCGTGAGCCACTATGCCTGGCTGACAAGACAATTATTTAAGGAACAGAGGGAAGGCCAGGGATTTAGCTCAGCAGCATAAGCATCTGTCTCGAAAGCGCAAGGTTGTGAGTTCAATCCCTGGTACAAAAAAGCCAAAAACAACTACAACAACAAAAACAACTACAACAACAACAAAAAAAAAAAAAAAAAAAACATGGGAAATGCAGAAATATGCAGAAATGACTGCACTTTACTTTTTCACTATTAAAGTTGGATATTTCTCTACATTCCTCAAATAATTTTTAGGTTATTTGTACTAGACAATGCAGGCAGTGTTTTCACAAAAGTAACTGTACAGTAATAACAAATGAAGGGAAAGCATGGCCTTCCAATAAAAGGCATTTGAAGACTGAAAAAAAAAAAAATAAATAAATAAATGAGAGGCCAGGGATGTAGATCAGTGGTAGAGTGCGTCCCCTGGCATGCACAAAAACCCTGAGTTCAAACTCTAGACCTGCCAAAAAGAGAAAAGAAATGTTAGAAAACAAAAAAAATTCCTCTCCATGCAAATGTATGTACCATGGTTGCCCCCGATCATGTGTTCTGAAATTTTGTTTTAGTTTTTTCTCTTTGAAATAAAATGGATCAAACAACAACGAAACTATCTCTGTCTACTAAGTTGGTATCCAAAATAAAAAATGATTTCCATCTCCCAATGACAAATAACACATGATAATTACTCTTTGTTTTGTTTGTTTGTTTGTTTGAGTGAGGGTTTCACTAAGCAGTCTAGTCTGGTCTTGAATTCACTCTGTAGCCCAGACCAGCCTTGACCTCTTGGGGATCCTCCCGCTTCAGGCTTCTGAGCGCTGGGATTATACCCGGCAATAAGACAATGACTCTTAACAATACGGAGACCCAACCTTAGACTGACAACCACAGCTATAAGCAGAGGGTTGGGAGGGGTGGCATTATTTCTAATGCAACCACTACTGAAATAAACTATCTTGCTAATGGAAGTTTCTCAGAAGCCTTCAAAGTTACTTTTGCTGTCAACTTCGAATTAATCAGCAATTTGTTCCTCTGAAGACTGAACATTCGGGTCTCAGCCCTGGTAACAGGCTGTCTGCACAAACTGCACCATCTCACAGCGACAAGAGACATGACAGCATGACCGGAAGTCAGCCGATGACCAATGTGGCCAAGGACTAGATGTGTGTGCTGCAGGGAAACTACTGGTCTATGATAGGGAAGCGAGGGGACCAAGTACCTCCTGATGTGACTTGGCGGCCACAGAATGACCGAGGTTTTATGGCCTCCAAAAGTTTTGCAAGCCTTCCACTAACCCTCCAAGAAAAAGCTGCATCTACACCATGCCAAAACAATCAGCGGAAAAGTTGAAATTTTGGCCAACGTAGTTATTTGGTTTCATAAAGACCTCAACAGTCAGTCACGTGCTCAACTTATGCTTAAGCCAGAACCCTGAGATTCAAGTTAAAACATTTGGAGTACACAGATGCACGGAACTTAGGATGCTGCCTGCACTCCGAGAATTCTAACTTCTCTTGTTAAATGCTGGCCATCGGGCATTCTTGCCAAAGTTATTATGTGCTCCATAAAACACAGAACCCGGGACTGCTGCCGCAGGTGCTTCATCTTTTGAATTTCCTGACAGGAGGGCTTCTCAGTTTGCATTTCAGGATTGAAGGCAGAAAGTCTTTGCATTTCATTTCCTGGGGATTTAGAGGAATAAAGAAAGAAGGGCAAAGAAAGGGAAGAAAGAGGGAGAGAGAAGAGAAGAAGGAGAGGGAAAATTAGGAAGAGAAAAGCAAAGCAAAAGGAAAATACATTTTCTGAAGACAAAGACCTGAACCCTCTGTCAGGCTCCGGGTATACCAAGTGATGAGAAGAAACTGGAGACTTCAGCTGAGGTCACCCCTTTGACGTCCCCAGGCCTCAGTCACCTCCTTCTGCAGCCCTGGCCCTGACTTCTGACCTCCGAGGATTAGGGAGAACAGTAAATCGATGGTCCAGCTTTTTTTTTCCTTAAGAGCCAGTAACCCAATAAAGTGCATGGGTTACTTTTTTAAGGGAAGAAAGTGAACATCTTATGCTAGTCGCCTCCACTGTACTATTTTAAACAAAATGAAAAACCTAAAGCCAAAAAAAAAAAAACTTAAAAATACAGTGGATGCAACCATATTCAAACTGGCCAAGAAAAACTTCATCTTTGGTCTGAAACCAAGTAACTGTAGCTGGTTATAAAGAAGATGCTGGAGGACCGGAAGCAGCAGAGAGAGACACAAGGTAACAGGAAGAGCCCATCACCAGGTGGCTCTTCTGCCCAGCAAAGGCACAGATGAAAGGTTCCAGAAACCAGAGCCAGTGGGCCCTGGGGCAGGGGCATCTTGGGAGGAGCAGCCTAGTGCAGCCTGGCAGGGCTGACTCAGAAGTCATAGGCCAGGAGCACCCAAGTCGCAGGCTATAAGCGGAGGGTAAGGAGGGGAAAGTCAGAGGTGCCCATGAGGAAGACAATCGCTGTATGCTGAAACATGTACTAATAAAAATTTTAAAAGTTTAAAAGATTACTAGGGGCTGGGGATGTAGCTCAGCGGCAGTGTCTGCCTGGCAAGCACAAGGTTGTGAGTTTGATTCCTGGTAAAAAAAAAAAAAAAAACAATACAAACAACAAACTATTAGGGAACGTGGGCTCTAGCACCAGTTTGGGAAAGGATTTAAATTGGAAGAGGTGGGGCTGGGGATTTAGCTCAGCGGCATAAGCACCTGCCTTACAAGCAGGCAATCGTGAGTTCGATCGCCGGTACCAATAAAAAGGAAAAAGACAAAAAAAAAAAAAAAAGATAAATTGGAAGAGGTTGTGGCTGTGCACATCTATAATTCAATGTGCTCATGAGGTTGAGACAGGAGGGTAGAAAGTTGAGGCTGCCCTGAGCAATTTAGCAAGACCCTGTCTCAAAATGCAATTTAAGGGCTGGGGATTTAGCTCAGCAGCATAAGCACCTGCCTTGCAAGCAGGTGGTCGTGAGTTCGATTCTCAGTACAGATTAAAAAAAATGCAATTTAAAAAGGGCTGGGTGTAGTTTAATGGTAGAGCCACCCTGGATTTATTCCTTAGCGTCTCTCACACACCAACCAGAGCAGGAGGGCCAGGGTTGTAGCTCAGCAGTGAGTGTGAGCTTAGCATATGTAAGCCCTGAGTTCAAATCCCAGCACCAAATCCAGCTCCCCAACCCCCCAACATTCTCCAAACCTAAAAAAGAAGTTTCAAAATTCTTCCACAGACCTCATATAACACTAGTAGTACAGCCTGATAAAGACAATGCAATAAACGCCAGGAATAGGCTGGGTGTGGTGGTGCATACTTGTAATACCAACACTTAGGAGGCTGAGGCAAGAAGATTGCCATGAACATGGCCTGAACTACAAAATGAGACCCTGTCTCAAAAACAAAATTAAACAAACTAAAGCCAAGAACAGACCAGTCTCATTTAAGAAATAGTTGGTACAAAATATTGGAATGTCAGCAAATGGAATTTGATTGTATGTTAAAGACCTCATTTCAAAATAAAAACAATTTTAAGGAGCCAAGTACACCTGTAATGCCAACACTCAGGAGGCTGAGGCAGGAAGGTTGCTGAGAGTTTCCAGGCCAGCTTGTGCTACATACAGAGTTCAAGGCCAGACTGAACTACAGAGCGAGGCTCAAAAATCTAAAACAAAACAAATTTTTTAAAGGGTTGGGGGTGTAGCTCAGTGCAAAGGCCCTGGGTTCAATTTCTAGTACTGCAAAATAATGATGATGACAACGACCAGGCCTGAATGGGGGTTTATCCCCCAAACTTAAGATATACTAAGATACAAATTCAGGGCTGGGCTGTGTAGTAGAGTGCATGCCTAGCATGCATGAGGCTCTGGGCACAATAAAGAAATAAGTTTACTATTAATGAACCAAAGGGGAAAAAAAATCATTGGAACATCTAAAGTTGCTTTGACAAAATCAAACATTTGATGTTTTTCAAAACTCCTACTTATTTATCCATCTATATATCCATCCTGACAAGGTAAAAATACAGCCCAAGGGAGACCCAGTGAGAGTGAAACCCCAGGAGCATTACAAGTAATATTAAGGTAAGATCAGGCTGCCCCTCAGTATTAGCACCAGGATTTAATTCTTCCCATTTCTTTTCTCTTTTTTGCTACCAGGATTGAACTCGTGACCTCATGCTCAGCAGGCAGGTGCTTGTGCCGCTGAGCCAAACCCCAGCATGTTTTATTTTGTCTTTTGAGACAAAGTCTTGCCATGTAGTCCCAGTTGGCCTCAAACTCACTATGTGGCCTTGGCTGGCTTCAAACTCCTGGAAATCCGCCTGCCTCAGCCTCCCACAGGCAGGGACCATACCTAGCATGGATGAAATTTTAAAACATTAGAATGGAAGATCTTGCTGACAAAGTACAGTAGATGGACACTTGTGAAGAAGGACTCAGAGAGGTCCCTGACTCCCTGGCGGAAGTGACCAATGAAGAACGGCACCATCTAATAAGAAGGTAGCAGTTCTGGTGGTGGTGGCTGGTGTTAGGATGCCGAGTTCAGGTGTGGGGGTGAGGAGTCCCACTGGAGACCTAACTTAGGGGATCCCAGGCTCGAAACCAACATTTCAAACCACGGACAGGTAGGGTGCTGTAGGGGCGAGTGGAGGGAAGGAGGAAAGTCCCTGGTCTGATCCTGGCCCGGAGTGGGCAAGGGTGTGATCTCCACACATGGGACAGGAGAAGGGAACAGGCACCAGAGCAGCCTAGCAGGGAGCTGGCGACCCAGAAGCCTCAAGGAGACAGTGTCTAGATGGTGCCGGTCAACAGCTGTCCTCAAACCCCGAGGCACTGCTTAAGAAAAGACAGAGTCAGCAGTTGGTTTACCCAGGTAGAGGCTGCCAGGGGCCTTGAGGGAAGGTGGCCCAAGCCCGGATAGGTGACGTGGGAACAGTGCTCCTTACCGCAGTGACATCTTGAATGTAAATCCCGCTATGTGTTTCGACCTCTTGTAACTTGTTCAAGGTCACACAGACAGAAGGTGACAGCCCAGGTGAGACCTTCAAGATGCTGTCCAGACCCCACACCAAGGAAACCACCCAAAGGCTGGGAGAGAGCCAAGCCCGAGGGGGCAGCTGGACCTGCAGTGAGTGGACAGCTCCTTTCCCACTAGCTCTTCCCTCCTGTTTACTATCCCACTGTCCTTATCACAGCCAAAGAATAATTACTTTAATGCAAACCCTTTTTTGAGGGCTAAGAACAAACACAAAACACGTTTCAATATTTCCAGGTTAACCCACGAACAGCCCTCCTGCTACGTTCTGTAATTTCAGCCCTGAGGGAGGCTGAGGCAGGATGGTTACTAGTTTGAGTCCTGTCTTAGCTAAAGCCAGACTGTCTGAAAATGACCAATAAAAAGAGGTGGGGGTATATAGCTCAGTGGCAGGGAGCCCAGCGTTCAAATCCCAGTGTGTGTGTGCGCGTGTGGGCTGGGGGTTGTAGCAGACGCCTGAGCTAAACCCACAGACACTAGGCCACCACGTGGCCACACCTACCTGTGGTCAGTGCTGGGCCGGGGCCTCGCTGGCCCTCGCCTTCTGCACAGGGCTGCGGGCGGCGGGGACGCGGGCAGGGGCAGTGGCGGCAGGGGTGGCAGCGGCGGGTGGCGTCCCCTCTGCTTCCTGAGGCCCGGACTCCCGGCCGTGTCCCCCGCGTGCTCAAAGGTCCTGCGGGGCTTGGGCGGGGGGCTGCGCGGCGCCTTGCCAGGCAGGGCGGGGGCCGAGTAGCAGGTCCCGGGCGGCTGTGGGTCCAGGCCCGCCGAGCCGTCCTGCAGGGCCCGCTCCAGCCTCTGCACCTGGGTCAGCACCGTGCGGGGGTCGGGGCCCGGCCAGGTGAGCCCCGGCCCGCGCACCCCGGCTCTGCCCGCGCTGCGGCCCCGCTGCTCCGGTGCCTCGGCCTCCTCCGCTGGCGGGGCGCGGGGCTCCTCCTGCGTGCCCGCGCTCTTCTTGCCCTCCCACTGCCAGATCTTGTCCTTAATGCTGGGGGGCTCGGGCCGGGCTCCCCACGGCTTCCTGCCAGCCTCCCGGGCGGCCAGACCTGCAGTCGCCCGGCCGGAGCCCCGCATATCCAGCGCCGCCTCCAGCACCAGGTCTAGACGGGGATGCAGTCCTGGGGGCTCCCGCCGAGGGGCGACTCCGGGTGGACTCCCAGAACGGGGCCAGGGGCCCGCACCGCTGCCTTCCAGGGGCGGCCTCGGCACCTTGCACCTTCGCCCTGCACCAGAAAGAGACAGGGCTGCTGGTGGAGATTCACCGATAGGGATGGGAATAGTACGCGCTAGCTGTGCATCTCAGACACTGGCCGCGGCAAAAAAAAAAAAAAAAAGCTTTTTGTTTTTCCTGCGGAAGAGCACGGTGGTAGGAAGGGCACAACCGGACTGTGGAGTCCAGTAGAGGTGGGTCTGATCCCAAGTCCAGCCTTGACGGGGGTGTGACATGGGCAAGTGAAGTCCACTAAACTGCAGCTTTCCTCTCTGCTGCGCATCTAAAGAGGCTGCGGGAGCCGGGCATGGTGGTTCAGGCCTGGAATCCCAGCACTTGGGAGGCTGAGGCAGGAGGATCCTTTCGAGTTTGAGACCAGCCTAGGCTACGAAGTGAGCTCAAGGTCAGCCTGAACTGCATAGGGAGACCCTGCCTCAAAAAGAAAAAAAAAAAAAAAAAAAAAGCCTGAGGGTGTAGCTCAGTGGTAGAATCCTTGCCTTTTGTGTGCAAGGCCCTGGGTTCAATCACCATGCTAGGCAAACACTCTGCTGCTGAGCAACCTCCAACCCTAGAAATTATTTTGTGTTTTTTCTTCTTTTTTTAGCCCAGGTTGGCCTTGAACTCACAGGGATCCTCCTGCCTCAGCCTCCTAAACTCAGAGCTTTAAAGTATGTACCACCCTCTCAGTTCCACATGAGCCCAGTGACTTTTTTGTTTCTTTGTTTTGAGACAGGATCTCACTATGCAGTTCAGGCTGGCCTTGAGCTCACTTATGTAGTCCACACTGGCCTCAAAATCAGGGCAATCCTCCTGCCTCAACCTCGAGTGCTGGGATTACAGGTGTGTGCCACTGTGCCCGGCCATCAGCCACTTCAGATGTGTGAGATTAGTGTGCACACACACACACAGAACAACCCCTCAGGGTGGGGGATGGTTTCTAAATACAGATAGAGGCGTGACTGTAGGGATTCTGAAGTCCCAGCAAGATGCACAGCGAGAGATGGATAATTAGCAATTTCATGCACACTGTGACTACAGCTTTCCCACCCAGAGACTTAATGGCTGTTTATGTAAAGGCTTCCCCATCGTGGAGACATTGGCACACTAATTATGTTGCTGTTTTTGATTTTACAGCATAAATTAGGAACTTGTGAAAATGCAAACACACTTTTTACTTGTGAACACATTTTCCATGGCTATCAACTTATTCAAATAACTTCCTCACTTAAATAAACCACTAGGATTCACAGCGGAGCGTTTAAAAGAGGTCTGCAGAGCTGTCCTGCCACCACGGGTGCCATGAGCATGACTTAGATTTTAGTCAGAATCACAATCTGTCTGTGGTTGTTTTCTTGAAGGTTCAATAGGCAGAATTCATGATCCCTGCTCTCGGGGTGCCAGAAGCAAGATGTAAACTGGACAGACGTCCCAGCTTGTGCGTGCTTGGGGACAGTGATGACAGACGTCCTGTGTCAGGAGGCAATGATGCACAGCAGATAAATACATGGGCTTTTGATTCAGAGAGATGTGGGAGACAACTCTGGTGACTCCCTTTGAATCCAAAACAATTATTGTGACTTTGAATATTTGGAGACTCATTTCCTTATACTGATACATAAAAGGCTGGCTAGGGTATTTCCTTCTCTTCATTTGAGCATTGCAAATAAGGTTAGCTGAGGTGCTAATATGCAATATCTATAGCCACAGACAGTGCATTTCCTCGCACAGTGTTCTCTGTACAATACAGATATGTACAGGATATGAACACGCAAGATGTTAGAGCAAATATCTCCGGGAATGTCAACTGGGTAGAGCCTCAAGATGAGGCTATGACTCCCTACTGCACAAGAGTCTGCATATCAGAAACCGAATAGCCCCCCAAGACACTTCCACTGCTACCTTAATTGGATTATGTAAATTGATCCTTCTTTATCTTTATCTCTACAATTTACAGAGATGCCAATCTTGCACCTGGCCAGCCAGCTCAAGTTATTCACATAATTCCCACCATCCTCACTGTCACTCATCCCTGAGCCACCCCTCTTCTTCACAAGATAATAAATTCTGGGAGAGGCCTAGGATCAAGGCCTTTGTCCGCATGTCCTCATGGGGATTGGACTTAGGACCCGTTGGCTACCCTTAACTTGGAACATGTCTTTACTCTCGCCGAGGATTGTAATGGTGGTAGTAGATTGGAATTAACTTGCTGGGATTCCAATAACGTTTCAATGGGATTACAAATACAACTTTTTGGATTGTGAGGAAAATTAGAAAGAGGATTACAATACTTGGATGACTGAACTCGATATCTGGGTTTACAACAGCGATGTGGACTTCTCTCCTTTCTTATTTACTCAAACAAGAGCCCTCTCATCTTCTCTAAACTGGAACTTTCAGAGTGCAGAGGCCGAGGTGACCGTTGTCCGAAGTGTGGCCTGCATGACAACCCTTTCTATCAACAGATGGCAGCTGGTGCCACTGGAATTGCCACAGCCTCGCTTGAGAGCCCAAACACCTGGAGTGACTTCATTGTCGCTCAGGCCCCAGCTGGAAACCGTGCCAGGAAAAAACAATAGTTTGCCAAAGGAAGACCACATTGGATTTACCAAGCTCAAGCTAGGGGTGAGGTGGCGAAAGGTTTGGGTGTCACCAAGGACAAAGTGCATTTCCTTGCTGTGTTCAGGGCACCTCCTGACCCCAGAATTCCACATCCCCAAAGATTCCGGGCTGGGTGCAGAGCTTCATGGCTGTCAGCTGCCGTGCAGACTGCAAGAAGGTCAGAAGAAAGGCTCCTCCTGGGGGCAGAAGACGGGAAGCTGACAGCGTTCAGTGACACCAACGGCTGCAGACTCAGGCTCAGGGATGAGCCAAACACAGATCCCCGCTGGAAGGCACCGTGGGGACACCTTGGGTTCTGACAGCACGTGGGTACCAGCCGGGCCTTCTCTTCACCACCTAGGTTCCAAGTCTTAGGTGGGAGCATCTCAGATAGATGAGCTACAGGAGGCCCATGAGAGTGATTCCTCCTCACCAGGTGTTATGGATTAAAAACTGGTGGTCAATTTAACGCCAGCTGAATTAAGTCAGCATGGTGCCAAGTGTAGATGTCCCACCTGAGGAAAGTTGCCAGCATAAATAGAGACATGGAGAAGATGAGTGAGGTGTTGTGGGTTTCTCTAAGTGTTGCTGTTTGAGCCTTTGGTTCTCCTGGAGGAGCGCATCATGACTAGCTTCCCCAGTGTGAGTCATCAGAGGAGCTCGGGACCTTGTTGGTGAGAGTGTCTGTGGTTCGCTTGAGGAAGCTCTGCTTACATCAAGCTTCACTTCCTGGCTCCAGAGGGGAAGACATGTGCCATTTAATCTCCAGGAGAAACTCATCATTCTGGCTTCCTGGCATGTATTCGACTCTTCTTATCTGAGGAGCTCGGGGCCTCCGTGTCACTGAGGATGGCTGTGGTGCTTTTCAGGACAGCCCTGGTCTTTGTTTTGAGCATGACTTCTCAGCTCCAGCATTGAACCCTCAATCTACCAGCACAGCTCCTTCACCCTCTGGCACAGACTTTCTAGCTTCCACCGCTGACCTCTGGGCCTTCCCAGTGCAGATCCGTAAAAGAGACTGGTGTGAGTCCTTCTTGTGGGCTCTAGACCTCCAGTTGGACTTGTGGGAGGCACTGTCATGGACTCTAGGTTTTCATCTGGACTCATGTAGGACATTGCTGTGGGATCCAGGCCCTTGGCTGGATATTCTGGGTCTTTAGTGTTGTGGATAGATTTCCTGTACTTTCTTGTGTTAAACTGAGTGACCATCATAAAACAATATTATAAATTCTGTGTCCTGATTCTGATCGTTCGTCTCACACCCCTGGCTTTAACACAGGGAATGGCAGAACATGCCTGTTATCCCACAACTTGGGAGGCTGAGGCAGGAGGATCACCATGAGTTTAAGGGCAGCCTGGGTTACATAATGAGTTCAGCTTGAACCACATAGTAAGACCATGTCTCAAAAAACAAAATAAAAAGAATAACCCCTCTGGAGCTGAAAGGAAGTAGGGTCAGGAAGAGGAGAGGTGGTGGAGAGAACAGAAGGACACTCGGAAGCTGGGTCAGTCTGTCCATCCTCAGGGACCTGGTCTTACCTGTCAGCCACTCTGTACCTCAGGTCTCTTGTCTGGCTGTGGCTGCCCTTGGCAGGCCTGCATACGGTCATCGTGTCAGCACTATGAAGACCTCCGGGTGGCCTGGGGACGAGGATGCACTGGGTGAGTCACACCAGCCAGGCTTCGCCCGGGAAACCCAGCCACACCATTTATCCCAACAGATCCACAGACCCCACCTGGGAGGAGGAGGAGGGTGGGAAGGCACTTCCCCAGGAGGGGGCTGCAATGCCTCAGACCCCCTGGCCCCTTCGATATGTCTTAGCCAAGGTCACTAATGACTGTAAGAAAATACAGTAGCAGTGGACATGGTGGCACAGGTAATTCCAGCACTCAGGAGGCCCAGGCAAGAGGATTGCTGAGAGCTCAAGGCCAGCTTGGACTACAAAGTGAGTCCAGGGCCAGCCGAACTGCATAGTAAAACTGTCAAAAAGACCAATAAACACACAAACAAAAATCCAAACCATGTTTACCTCCCAATCCATGTTCCCCTGGACAGCCCCCGCCATGCCTGAAACCTCAGATGGAACTGAACTCTACATAGAACTTTTCTCTTATACCTATGAATCTACGATGAAGTTTAGTTTATAAATGAGGCACAGTGGACAACCCATTTTCCAGGACCCCTTCTGGCCCTCTTAGATAGCTTTCTTTTTCTCAATAAATTCTTTTACCAAACTCTACTGTGCCTAAAATTCATTCCTCAGTTTTGGAGAACACAAGCTCAGCATTTTGGACATCAAGCCCCTGTGTCACTTGGAAGTCTTCCACCAAGATCGCTGGATGGAGACATGGGGAACTCCCTTGAAGTGTATGTTTAAGCACTGGAAGATGTTCAACCCTTACACGTTGAAAAAGAGCCGTCTGATATTTCGTCATTAGTCTCTTTCTCTCAGTGACCTAAAGCAGATCAAGCTAGATGTAGAAAATTTTCAGATGACCCTGATAAGTACACTGAGATCATTAGAGGACTTGCTCCGACCTAAAACGAGGCTGGCAGGATGTAATGTTAACCTTAAATCAAACACTGACATCTACATTACACGCTGCTTTTATATTTGAGAATAAATATCACAATGGTGATTTTACAAGAACAGAAGATAGCCAGGGAAACAGCCAGTTCCAACAGCCAGACCCAAAAGCAGTTACCTTTGTTGCAGCCTTTAAAAAAAAAAGACTAAGTCTGATTCTTGAGGCTCCAAGAAGAGCTGAACGGCAAGGTTTAACTGCTCCTAATGGGGAAAGCCAGAGGCCACCTTAGGAGGGACTGCCTTAGAGCCCCTCAGGTGAGGCCCTGACTGCAAAGGTAGCCCCCAGAGAAGCAGAAGGCGCCAGAAGCAGAAGCAGAAGTAAGACTGCACTCTGCAGAGGCCCCAGAGCTCAGAGGAGCCTTCCCAGGGTGCCCGCAGAGACTGAAGGCCCTGGGGCACTCTGCTCTCTCCCTCTGGCCAGTCTGCCATCTCTACCTGTCAGCTCCGTGGAGGAGCCCGGTGTAATCATGACTTAGAGGAAAACCCCATCTATTGCTGAACACTGGCACACTTCTTTGTCCTTCTTTTCAGTCCTGGCTTTCCTTCCAGCCGTCATACTGTCATAAGCAGCTGAGTTAGATAAAAAATATTACAGGCAGTCAGACAGGGCTGGGCTGTCAAACGAGCCAGTGCAGAAGGCTCTCAGATACCTTGCGACTGTGGGGGAGAAAAATATCTCTGCTGTGGGCCAGATCTCAAGACAAAAGATAATGCACCCACATACTTACTTCCCAAGAATAAGCATCAGGAAGATATTCTACCTGAGGGAGCCAGGAGCCACCATCCCAGCCCCCTGCAGGAAGAGTCACTGTTCTATACGCATGCCCGCATGCTATGACTTGCTTTCCCCCATTTGATTCTGATTTTATCAACTTTACCTGAGCAGTTTTGCTCCTAATCTTGCTGGTTGACCATAGTTCTGTCCCACCTCATGTCTGCCTGTCTTGTGAGTTCCTATTTTTTCCCACATTGGACCCATCTCACCTCGTGGTTTTGCTTGATAAAAATCCCTGGAAAAAGGCAGGATCCTCGGCAACCCACTCAGGGTTGTCTTCCAGACAGAGGCTTTCTTTCTCTCAATAAATATATTCTGCTCTTAACCTCTGTTGTTTCTACAATGCATTCTTTGATTTTAGAGAACACGAACTCATACCAGACAGCTAGTAGTTTGGGTGTTTCTTCCCCTATATCAATATCTCACTAAGAAGGAGGCACCAAACAAAAGGTGACTTAAACTGCAACTGACATGACTTTCTCTGCACCCATTCCTTTTGTGTATTTATTTATTTTTGGTACCGGGGATTGAACTCCCAACCTTGTGCTTACCAGGCAAGTGTCCATACCACTGAGCTAAATCCCTGGCCCCATTACTTTTACTTACTTTTTTACCCTAAAAGCCCAGCTCCCTTCAGGGGGAGATATTTTATCCTTTCTAAATACTATTAAAAAATACAATTGCCATTCCAGTCCCTTATGAACAGTTTCCAGACTTACCTGTCAGCTCTAGTGCTCACGCTTTGATTATACATGCTCTAATTTCTTTCTTTTTTTGGTACCAGGAACATGCTCTAATTTTTAAAAAATTTGTTTATTCTTGCCAGAGGCTGCCAAACCCCAAGTGATCATATACATAAAACCAACAACAAAGGTTAGACTCCTTGAACCAGGATCCACTAGATCCCGAGAGAATTATATGACACATATGAAGGCCTTAACTAACTACAATCTGTGGGCTTTAAGCGACACTGCAGCTGGTCTCTCTCCTAAACGAAGAACTAAAATTAATAAGGCAAGCTGTCCTTGAAAATTGGATGACATTAGACATTCTAAGCAGCAGCTCAAGGGGGAACTTATGCAATTATAAAATCCACATGCTGTATATACATTCCTGAGCCTTTTGCTAATATCTCAGTAGTTATTTAAGATATTAGATGACAAGTTAATGACATGTCAGATTCTGAAATTCCCTGGACCTTCTCCTTACCCTCTTTATGGAAGCTATTGTTACAGGCAGCTGAGTTAGTTAGAACTATTACAGTCAGATAGCGTTGGACCCTTGAAGGAGCCAGTACAAAAGACCAGGTACCTTGCAACATTAGAGGAGACAGACACCTCAGCTTCAGGCCAGGGCCAGATCTCAAAACACAAGGCAAAACACACACAAAGTATAAACATCAGGGACTGATACTCTAAATAGGTCTGGATCACCTTGAAGAAGCCAGGAGTCCCCATCCCAACCCCCTACAGAGTCCCTGCACTTTAAGCATGCCTGCTGACTACATGACTCACTTTCCCATTCCTTCCCAGTTTGGTCAATTTCATCTGAACAATTAATCATACTGGTTGACTATAATTCTATCCCACCTCATGCCTGTCTGCCTTGAGAGTTCCAAGTTTTCCCCATCCTGAACCCGGCTCACCTTGTGGTTTTGCTCTATAAAAGTCCCTAGAAAAGACAGTCTTTGGCAACCCATTTGGGACCCCTTGTCTCTCTTCCAGACAAAAGCTTTCTTTCTCTTAACAAATATATTCAGCTCTTAATCTCCATTGTTCCTAAAATTCATTCATCAATTTTGGAGAACATTGACTCGTTCCAGACATCTAGTAGGTTGGGAGTTCCATTCCCCTGTATCACTATTTTCGTCTCCTGGTGGAAACCTTGGTTGACTATATTCATAATAATTCTGCTGATCTTATTATGTGGCACATGTGTACTTAATTGTTTCTTTTCTTTTCTTTTTTTTTTTTTTTTGTCTTTTTCCTTTTTATCGGTACCGGGGATCGAACTCACGACTGCCTGTTTGCAAGGCAGGTGCTTATGCCACTGAGCTAAATCCCCAGCCCCCAACTAAATCCCCAGCCCCCCTTAATTGTTTCTTTAGCCTTTTCTCCTCCAGACTTCAAGCCGTACCTCTACCCAAGATGAAAATGTCTGGCACCCATCGAGAGCCTCAGGCCGACCCTCTGTGGAGTGTCTCTGAGTGCTAATGATGACTTCGATCCTCTTCATCCCTTGCCTTCTCACAGCAGTCAGGGGTACTTCTTTAGAGCGGGGAATATGACAGATAGTGGTAGAAATATTACAGGCAGTGAGACAGGGCTGGGCCCTCCAGAGGTCTAGGTAGAAAAAGGCCAGACTTCAAGAAAAAGAAGAACTACTCACCCACATACCTCCTCTAAGGATTACTGGCAGGGACTGATATTCTAAGCAGACATCAATCACCTCAGGGTGGAGGATCAAACCTCCTTAACTCACCCCACCCCTGTCTGTCCACTGTGTGCTTGCTACGTGACTTGTTTCCCTATTGGACCCCCATTTAACATCACCTGAGGGAGCACCCTTGAATACTTGCTGCTTAAGCACAGTTTTGCTCTGCCTCGCACCCATCCTTCAATTTTCCACTGGATTAGCATCACCTAAGCAACAGTACTTGGAATCTGCTTGATTGATTATAGTTCTGTCCCACTTCAAACCCGCCTCACTTCACTCAATAAACACCCTTGAGAAGCGGGGTTGGTGGGCAGCCCACTTTCTGGGACCCTTCTTGTCCCTCATAGACAGAAGCTTTGTTTCTTTCAATTTTCTTTTTCTTCTTCTTTTTTTTTGTCTTTTTCGTTTTTATCGGTACCAGGGATCGAACTCACAACTGCCTGCTTGCAAGGCAGGCGCTTATGCCGCTGAGCTAAATCCCCAGCCCCTTCTTTCAATTTTCTTCCTACTCTTGAAAAAAAACCAAGGCATGGTAACAACAACTAATGATAAAACAATTATAACAACATGCTATAAAAGCAGTTTGATGAAAATGATCTCTCTCTCTTTGAAAATATCCCATTTTCTATACTGTGCTTTCGGACTGTGGTTAACTGAAACCAAGGAAGCAGAACCAAGAAAACACAGGAGCCACTACTATGGAAAAAAGCCACACATGCTTATAACCCACCCTCAGGCTGTTTCCAGCTCTCCAAGAACCACTGTGGTGAGCTAGCAGTCCCCAGAGCAGAGAGCGCTCTTCCTTTCTTTGGAACAAGACAGAAGCATCTCCGTGGGGACTC